CATTTTTTTACGAAATAAATACAACCACTAAGAAATTAGATAGCACCTAATATACGTTCACTTCGATGTTGCTAGTTCCGAGCTTGTTTTGAAGTTTGTGCCCTTATATGTTGTCCTTGCTCATCGCATTATGTGCTATCTCACCATTTTTGTAGAAATAACTCCAAGAAATGAGATAGCACATAATGACTTTCACCTCGATGTTGTCCTCACCACGCGCGCTGTGTGCATCATGCCGACACCTTTTGCAAGAAGAAAGCTTGTGTTGAGTACACCGTAAAAAATGGGATGATCGCACAGAGAAAAATATCGCCACGTGCTGACCACCACGTGGTCGTAACATTAAGTAATACAAATTATCACCATGTGCTTATCACCCACGTGGTCATAATATTTCTTCCTAATTTTATAACCACGTGGTAACTTTTTCATATTACGACCACGTGGCGACATCCACATGACATATTTTCTCCTTTCACGTCGCCACCATTTTTTACCGGGTCCTCCTTCTTACCTAAATGTCGCCTTGTTACCAATTTATTTCCAAATTTATTTCTTTACCAATTTACCAAATTACTTGTCGTAGTTAATCTCTTATCATTACGGTGTAAGTAAAACGTTCGAAAAAAGTGCCTGTGACAATGAATCCGTGACTGTTTTTATATTTACCTTATCGTTACAAACGTATTTATTGATATGGTAGACTAGATACCACGTGTTGCATCGAAACTTTTACGTGTCCGTGTGTCCATTTTGTCCATTTTTTAACAAAAATGTGTGCTCCGAAAATTTAAATATTTACCTTCCCTCCTCCTCATCTCAAGAAGACTAAAATGACTTCGCGCCAATATTCCCTCTTTTCCCTGTCCTCCGCGCGGGCCAAGGCGCGCCGGGAGAAGTTTGCGCAGACGAGAAAATCACTCTCCGCGACGTGGGGGTCGGACAGCGCGGGGTGCATTTTGGAACTCCCCTCGCCCACGATTGGCACCCCGCCCAAACATTTGTACCTCTTGCCCCACGCCATTTCGCCCCTCGCCATCTTCACCACGCGCACCGGCACCGCGACCGCGGTCCATTCGAGTAGCGGCGAGGACTTGTTGGAGGGAGGAGGGGGCCCTTCCTGTTCTTCGGCGGAGGGGGGAAGGTGCTGTTCTGCCGCCGGGGGGAGTGGTCCCCTCCGGAGGAAACCCACCATGATGCCGCCCCCCGTCCTGGCCGGCGGGGTCAGGAGAAAGCATCGCCCTTGTTTTAGAAGGGATGCCCCTAGGGTGAGTGTGCAGGATTTCTTTTGGCCATACAGGGTTAGGAAAAAGGAAGGGTTTTCTATATAAAAAAGGTAAATATGTCGGATTTTATTCGACGTTTTTGAGTTTGAACTGGGTTTTCTTGTGTTTTTGCAAGGATTTTACTGGTGTTTTTGGTGGATTCATTGTGATTTTATAGTGGTTTTATTAGACTTTTTACTGGATTTCTTATGTTTTTGCAAAGGTTTTTGTTAGTATTTTAAATGGGTTTATTGCATTCAGAGTGGGTTTTATTGCACTTTTTCCCTTAGTTTTATTGGGTTTTATTGGGTTTTCTTTTGAATGAACAAGGTTTTTGTTGTGTTTTCAATGGGTTTTATTATGTTTATAGTAGGATTTACCTGAAATTTTTGGAAATTTTATTTTACCATGTGCTATTGGGTTATTAATAACGTGGTGCTACATACGTTTGCGTCGGATTTTTGCCATGTTTTCATATGTAAATCTCAGAAAATTCTTTATCTCATCAAATTTAACCAAACCTAAAACACCAATAAAACCCTGAACAAAATGGTTAAACCCTTCTTTCTTCGTAACCCGTCCGAAAAAGGGGGTAAACCGGGGGATCTGAGTACCCGGGGTAAAGTGGGATTAGAGAGAGAGAGAGAGAAAGCGTATGAATAAAGGATGAGGAGCGAGAGGAGCGAGGAGGAGATGAATAATTGAATTTGTTGAATACTAAGTTGGCCCAGAGAGAAAGTCACTTTCACCCGTGACACCACCGACCGCCTCGCAAATGAAATCCACACGCAACACGTTGCATCCAAAAAAAAAAATGAATAGAATTTTACTCTTTTTAGTCGAATAATTTTACGAATTTTAAACCGATTATTAAATAAATTTGTTCCGGTTTAAATTAAATAATGAATTTTTTGGGAGGAGCAGTTTCTTAAAGGGAGAAAATTTACTAACTTTGTTCAATTTGGAATTTAGCAAGAAAACTTTTTTTAAAGGTAAATGTACTTAAGTTATTCCTTTATAAAGTTATCGGGCTAATTATCTTTAAAAATAGAGGAAAACTAGGAAAATTTATTAAATTTATTCCTTTTAAATCTAACCGGGTATTTTTTCAAATATGGAAGAAAATGAGAAAAATTCAAAAAAAAAAAATTCAAAAAAATTAAGATTTTCATTTAAATTCCAATTTAAACTTCGGTTTAAATTTCCGTTTAAAAATATTTTTGTAAAGAAGCAAAATCAGGAAAACTCAGTAAATTTGCTCGGTTTTAAATTTAACGCGATAATTTTTTAAGATATAAAACTAAGAAAATTTACTAAACTTCTTCTTTCTAAATTTCCCGCCAAATTTAAAGGATATCAAGCTCCTCCCGCACTTTCTCTCTCTTTTTCCAAACCCCCCAAAAAACATTTAAACTTTCGAGAAACTTAATTCCGCTCTCATATTTCCCATCCAGCTCGCGCCAACCAAAGAACAGCCCGCGCATCTCGAAGCGTCCGCATCCACCCCGATAAACCCTTTCTTATCCTCGTCCCTTTCAGAAGATGGCTTTCCCGGACTGCGGGAACGTTCAAAATCCTTTTCAGACTTTTCAAAATCCTGGGAACCATTCATCCCTTTGGGCCAAAATTCAAAAACTTCCAGCCCCCTTCCCGCCAAACGTACCACCCAACCGCCCTCCCGCCTCGACCTTTTTCAAATGCGGAACAGTCTCGATCACCAAAATTGGATTTGCGAAAAATGCGAAGCCGACGCGACCTGCGTTTTAGTCGCGCAAAAAAAACAACAACAAAGTAAAATTTTACCCGCGAAATCCAAAATTTTAAAAGGTCCCGCCACCACCGTTTTCGGGGACGCTTCCCCGCCATTTTTTCGAAAAGCTAATACACTCCCGGAACAAGAGAAGGATTCCAGAATCCTAGTCGCGATGCGAAATGCGGACAAAAGGCGGGAATTTTTTGCTAGAAAGCATACAAATTCGGCGCCAGATCGGTACACGGGGTTTTCTGAGACGGCCACGTCTTCGTCGACGCCGATGGCGGGAACGACGACGATGACGGGGTGGAATGAGAATAGTTTGGCGGAAAATATACTCGACACGACACGTATGTAGATTCATCTGTGAGTTTGATGCATGAGGAAAAAGTGGAAAAGTGAAAGTTACTTTTTATTCTTCTTCTTCTTCTTACTTTCTCTTCTGTCTTCGTCTCTTCTCTTCTGTCTTTCGTCGTCTCTCTATCTTTGTAGATTTAAATAATGTCACGTGTGTAGTGTGGGGTAGTCAAATTTGGATATCTGGTTTCCCGCGGTGTCTCATTTTACCCTGAGCAGAAAATAAAAATAAATAATCCTCTAAGATTATCTGTAAAAACCTGGTGTTTTTCAAAGTAAAGAGCTTATTTCTAAGCTTCATGTTGGTTTCGTTTCTTGGGGTAAAGTGACACATGGCGGGAAACCTTGTGGGTACATTTTAGGCGCCACTGTTAAAAGTATGTCCGTAACGCGGCACAATATCATCAGGTGAAAGTGAAAGTCCCGTCAAAATTTGCATCTCTTTTATCTACTGAAATGTAAATAATAATAAAATATGATTCTTTTTATAGAAACTTATTGTAAAATCTACTTTCTAAATATTTTTAGTTTTGCGTAAAATCTGAAAAATAGTTTAGTTTTAAATATGTCATTGTACAAATTCGTTCCAAGTTTTTATTTAACAATCTTACATAATACTCCTGCGCTTTCACCAAAATCACGCGCTTTTAGGGAAATTAGGACAAAGTAAAGTAAACTTTTACTTAAACTATTAGAGACCAGCTTTTATTATATGATTCATAGTACGCGCTGAGCAATCCATGCTTTCACGAGATTTCAGGAAACTTTTTTTACACACTAATTGCTGTTTTTTTCTCGTCTCGTCTCAATGGAGTGACTTCCTTAAAAATATAATAAAATAAGCCCGCAGTGGTGTGGCTACTTGTGCAGCTTACAAAGTCAACCTGCTTTCACTTTACGCGCCAAAAAAAGAAACACCTTCTAACTAAAAATGCAAATAAACTAGTTTCTCCACGGCGGGAAGTTTGTATCTCGGCTGGTTTTGGACTAGCCGAGGTTGCAAAATTCCCGCGGTGGATAAAGACCGTCTCACATATTTAAGTCTGTCAAACAGTGTCAAGACTTTGACTAAAATTGACTTTAAGAATATATGTGTCATAATTAATCTGTGTCTTTCTCTGTGTTTGTGATCCTACAAATTTCTACAACAACTACATTAAAATTTTATTTTTTACTGTTCCGATACACGATTTTTATAGTTTTCCTTCTTCACAAGCTTTACATTTCTTTTCGTATCAGGGCAGAAATTGGGACCAATTTTTCTGTAAACCTTCAAAATTCTACAAATAAGACTATACACTCGCCAGAATGTAATCTGTGAAATTTATATTTTTCCCGTAATTCTTTATTACACACCTAATACCGTTATTTCATTTGTGGAAAGTTCACATTTTCCTTGAACACGTGGTTATTTTCACCTCTCATAAACACTTTTCGTCTTATTCCACACGAAAATATATATCTGCAGGGATAATTTACATAATTGTATAAATGTACATATTTAGATAACTGTGTGATTATTGTCCTGCTTTCACTACTACTGCGCGCGGCGTGTGCAACTTTTCCACGGGCGGATTTTAGTGGGTGTGGTGGTTTGGGGTAACTTGGTGGTTGTTGGTTTTCAGGTCGAATCTGCGGGAATTGCAGGGAGCCGATAACCAAGTGTTTGGACGGGGTGTTAAGAGTCACGCGCAAAGGGGACACGTCGACCATAACGCCACCATCCGTCGAAGGTCAGTCCAATAAAAATTTGCTCTTTTTTATATGCTAATTTTCTGGTAAAGAAAACTAATTTTTAGAATTTTTACTCGTTCATAATTAACAGACGATAAATTTCCGACTTGTTCTCAATACCATGCAATGTAAAGTCATAATCTGTTGCTATGTTAAATTCTGGAGAATCACGACTCCAAAAATTTGTCCAAAATTTGCAAACTTTCACTGAAATCCACTTTCTCGACAGTGTATAATATAATTCTGAACAAATCATAAATCTGCCTCGCAAAATTAAAATTAAGTGCTATAAATAAATGTGGTAATTAAGTCATCCTAATTTTTGTCCAAATTTTTGGCACCATTTGATTTCCCACATAAAATCAAACTTTTACAGAAAAATCACGGTCTTCCAAGAAATTTAACCTTACGTAACAAAGAATAGTCAATATTTCGCAATAAATTAGCATAACAAAGTCGTCTTTGAATTGATAAAAGTCTGGATATTCATTCACCCAATAAAAAAATGGAGCCATGCAATTATTCCAATTTCAAAAAAATGTATGCATCCCAGCTCCTCGTCTGAAAGGGGAGAACATCTATTTATTTACACTGATTCCATCATGTCCTCGAGCTATTTTTTCTAAAGTTTTTTTTTCAAGACAAAGTTGTTCAATAGGCAACAAATTGTTTTTTGTCCACAAAAAGGAGAAAATCCTGGCATTCAAAAAAATTATCGTGGTGAAAGTGAGACCGGAATATGATCCTTGCAGCAAGGATGTCATTTCATCATAGATTTGAGTAAGAATTGGTAAAAATCTCACTTCCATGGGTATTTGTAACCCCATTTTTACCACTTGCTCAAAATGAAGTAGGAAAAATGAGAAAAAAACTGTAAATTTCCTATTTTTGCCACCATTAAAATAGTTGCAAGGTAGGGAAATGTTATTTCGCCCAATACGCTATAAACTAACGGCTTTAATCACAATCAAATTTCAGATTTTCCACCCAAAATAGTATAGTAAAAACGTGAAAAAGTGTCCATTTCCCATTTTAATTAAAATGGTTGGAAAATGGCAAAAAGCGTTCTTTCATATTTTTCCTCCACGTTCATTTAAAAGCTCTTATCAAAAAGCTACTCGAAAATTATATTTCCCCATTTTTTCCACTGCAAAAAAAACACTTTTTCCCATCCATAAAATGCATTCTGAACGTGAAAGTAACACTCACTATATGGGAACACTGTTAGTTTTATGATATTTCTTTTTTCACTACGTTTTAGATCAACTTCTATCTTACAATGCGATGGTGTGAAGTGTAACCCTCCGATTTGGCTGAAATTTTGAAATTAGGTGGTCCAAGTCAATACAACCTACGTTTCTTCAGCAAGTTTGTGCGATGGTTGGAGTTTCTCAAAATATTTGAGGTCAAAGTTGAAAAAACGGCCGACTTTTTTCAGGCGCAGTGAGAAAACTCCACTTCCATTCTCTTCCCCTCGCATTGATTTTATTCAGGTTTCTCACTCACACATACGCCTTCATACACAAGCATAAGTAGTGATGCAAAATAACAAAAATAAAACATTATTATTACCGCTTAAATAGGAATTAACAGGCCTTATACTCGCGAAATTTAATTCATAATTTAATAAGTGAGCTGTTTACTTCTTTGTATTAAAAATTCAGACAAACATTAATTTATAAATTCATCAACGGGAAATAAACATGGAAAAACTTACTTTCCATTTCGAAAGCGTTGGTTATTCTGATTTCCAATTCATTTGAAAACAAAGACCAAGACGCATGTGCAATGAATAATTAATGTTTTTCTATCATAAATTAAATTAACATTGATGAAATCTATAATTTTTCGGAGTTAAAATCAATGCGAGGGGAAGAGAATGGAAGTGGAGTTTTCTCACTCCGCCTGAAAAAAGTTAGCCGTTTTTTCAACTTTGACCTCAAATATTTTGAGTAACTCCAACCATCGCACAAACTGGCTGAAGAAACGTTAGTTGTATTGACATGGACCACCTAATTTCAAAATTTCAGCCAAATCGGAGGGTTACACTTCACACCATCGCATTGTTAGAAAAGCCCAATTACAGATTTTATTCCACACTAAACAACCATTTTCTCCCCCCAAAAAATCATTTTACCCCAAAAACGAACCACCCATCCCATCATACCTAACATCACAAAAAATCTGCCGCCATCCACCCCGCACGGGCACCGCTGCTTTCTTTCTCCCTTTCTCTCTCTCTCTCCCCGAAAAAAAAGTGAAAGTGGAGTTTTCACTTTCTAATTGGGTGCATGTTCTACTTTGCGACTGGGTTATGGCTGAATTGAATTGAATCGGGTCGTGGGAAGGAATCGGACTGGATTGACTTTCTTCTACTTTCTCCTCCTAAAAGAGAAGAGAAAAAAGCAGGTTGGTTGCAGAAGAGAGAAGAAAATTAATGGATTTATCTTCTCCTTCTTTCGTTTGAGACATTTCTTCTCTTCTTCTTCTCGAACCTCTCTCGTTTCGAGCTGGAGGCTCTTTTCCCCTTCGTCGGTAACATCGGGTGCTACTTATATCTGGATGGATGGATGGATTAATGGGTGAAAGGAGCCAGCCAGAGTATGCTTCGATAGCTGCTTGGATAAAGAAAGACGGAGAAAGTTGATGAATTTCTTCATTTTTATCTCAAATTCGCCCCGCATTCGAATTACACCTGCTTTCTCCGCTCATTTACTAAGTCTTTGGCACTTTCTCTGAATTATCTAAATATTTGAAAGTGTTAATATATGTTTTCTACGAGAAATTTGTCACGTGATTGGGTGCTGCTTATATTTGGATGGATGGATGGATTAATGGGTGAAAGGAGCCAGGGTATGCTTCGAATAGGTGCGTGGAAAAAGAAAGTTGATGAATTTCTTCATTTTTATGTCGAATTTGCCCCGTATTTAAGATACACGTGCTTTCTCTCATTTGCTAAATATTTGCAAATATTAATGAATTTTTTGCAAGAAAATTATCACTTCATTCCGTGCTTATCCACTCAAAATAAGGTGGTAATGAATCATTACAATGCGGAATGACTATGTGTCTCTACCACATCGGTTACGATTTGTCACATGAATGGTAATAATAATTTCAGGGAAATTCAAATTCATTACCAAATATTAAAAGAGTGAATACCATTAAGTATTAAATTTGAATTTCCCTGAACTTATTATTACTATTCATGCGACAAATCGTAACCGATGTGGTAGAGACACATAGTCATTCCGCATTGTAATGATTCATTACCACCTTATTTTAAGTGTCTATATCAGAAAATTACCCAGCATTCATTTAAGTTACACGTGCTTTCTCTCATTTCCCAAATATTTGCAAATATTAATCAATACTTTTCACAAGCAATTTGTACCATCTCTCTGGAGTAACTTATATTTTACAATTAATCGATTAATAACGGGTGAAAGCATACTTTGATGGGTGCGTAGAGAACGAAAGGCGGAGAAATTTGATAGATTTTGCATCTCTGATTTGCCCCATATTCAAATTACGAGTGCTTTCAAACCACTTTCTTCCCGTTACATATTTCTTGCAAGTGGTTACTTTCCCCTGCTTTCTCCCGAGAAAGACTGGACATTCGGAAAATCTGTAACCTGAAATTTCTCCGAGATCTTTCACTACGAAACAGGATTCCATTTGGTCCAGCCCTTTTGAGCGTAATGGTTGGCGACGTCGGAGCCATTACAATAATTATCAACTGTTGACATAAACATTGTGACGAGGAGGAGAAGGAAGCCGCGTCTGAAATGGGAGCAGAAAGCGGATCGTTTTACAACCAGAGACCAAACAACTTTCTAATTTATCCTTCATCTCCATTATTCCCGAGGACAAGCAGGGTTCCCTTGCTGGCGGGATTTTGCCACATTTCTTGCACTGGGAAGCATGGAAACGGAATAAATGCGAGGTGGGAGAAAGTGTCTACACTCAAAATAAGGTAGTAATGAATCATTACCATGCGGAATGACTATGTGGCTCTGCCACGTCGGTTACGATTTGTCGTAGAAATGGTAATAATAATTTCAGGGAAATTCAAATTCATTACCAAATATTAAGCAAGTGAACACCATTATGTATTAAATTTGAATTTCCCTGAACTTATTATTACCATTTCTACGACAAATCGTAACCGACGTGGTAGAGCCACATAGTCATGCCGCATGGTAATGATTCATTACTACCTTATTTTGAGTGTGGGAAGCATGGAAACGGAATAAATGCGAGGTGTTTTCACAGCCCCTGTGATTTATTCAAGACTTGTGATTTTTGTGATATTCAGTATTTCTTTTCTGGCAGGTTTTCTACATTTCTTGCACTAAAAATAAGCCACGTAAAAAACATGAGGTGCAAGAAACTGCAAGAAATAGGCCCCATGTGCGGTATAAAGTGGGTAAATCGGGAGAAAGTAGATTCTTGCACCTTGCATTTCTTGCATGTTCGAATATTTACCTGCAAGAAACCACTTTAATTCTTACAAATGGTCACTTTTTACATACACGCGAAACCCTGCTCGCTTTGGTGGACGAACTTTCTCTCTCGAGTGAAAGTTACGTTGGGCAGATTGTTTCATCCGTCAAGGAGACGATTCAGGCTGCTTCCGTAATTGAACTAATATGCAATTTCGGATCAATATTCATATTCTCACCATCATTTGCGTTGCTCGTCAGGCAGGAAAAATATCCATCAACGGACAAAATTAATCATAGGTGTGCGTAGAAAATGAGGCCAATGGGTTTTTGGACTATAGATTTTTATATAATTTGAATAGACAGGTCTTCATATTTATTTTAACAATTTTCAAAAACTTGTCGGTACAATAATTTAATCAAATTCTACAAATTTGTCGCATTGGAACGTCATTTTCGACAATTTTTACCATCAGATTTTTTTTATAAAATTATAACTTATACAAATTACCAGGTACACGTGGAATTTAAAAGAAGGCAGTAAATTTGCGAAA